TTTATAACCTTTTTTTTTAAACAGTAATTTTATTATTTAATATTATATTTATTATAAAAAAAATTTATAACCTTTTTTTTTTCAAAACACTAAAAGATATAGCTATATCATTGTAGTCATGACTACAAAATATTATTCAGTGAAATAGTATTTTTTTTCTTTTTAATTTAACTCTTCAACAACATAATCTATTTTTATTTAGTTTTATTTTCCAACTCCATCTTTTAATATTAGATTGTTTTGGAAATTCTACTTTATATTTTTTTTTATTTTTTCTATTGGATTATATATTGATTTCATATATTTATTTATTTTTCAACCTTAGATAATAAATATGTTGGAAGTAAAGCTTCATAATTTTTTTTTTAATTTTCTTTTAATGAGTTTATTTTGATCTCATTACCTAGACTGTGGATTTAATAGGTTAACATAATTTGACTATGATCGTTTTTTTGGGCCATTTTTTCTTAATATTTTTTTTTATCAATTTCATCCGTCAATATTAGATTGGTTGAAAAATAAACTTTGTATGAGATTATTCTGATCTATTGAGTCGGGTCACAGGTTTGGGAACAAGTTGACTCTATTCATTTTTTTAGTCATTTTTGAACTTGAATATTATTTTTAATTGGGCTTCGTATTTTTTTTATTTGATTTGCTTGAAATTATTTTGATCTCATAACACAGATCGCGAGTTTAAAATGTTGATTTGGATTAACTCAGTTTATTTTTTATTTTTTGATTGATTTTTTTTAATTTCACGCTCTAATAACTCAATATACTTCCTTTTTTATTTTATTTTTTAAATTTATCTTTCAATAGTAGATTATTTGAGAATTAAGTTTCATAATGTTTTTCAATTTATTTTCTATGAATGTATCCCAGTCTCATGGATTTATTTATCTTTTGTTGATTTCAACTTTCAACATTAGATATATGTTGGAAATGAAGTCGTGTAATTTTATTTTTATTTTTTTATAAAGTTATATGATTCTCATAACCTAAATCGCTAGTTTAATATGTTAGTTTTAGTTTATTTGGTTTTTTTTAATTGATTTATTTTTTAAAAAATTTATCCTTTAATATTGGCTTGGTTGGAAATTGAGTTTTATATTTTTTTTAATTTTTTTATATGGGGTTATCCCAATCTCATGATTCAAGTTACAAGATTGGCAGATTAATTAACTTGAGTTAACTCGAGTATCTTTTTTTTATCTTTTTTTAATTTAATTTTTTTCACTTTCATCTTTCAAATTTGAATTGATTAGAAATTTATCTTCATAATTTATTTTTATTTACTTTTTATAAGATTATTATAGTTTTATGTTTCAAGTCGTAGATTTAACAAGTCAATATAAATCGATTTAATATGTTATTGTGATAATATTAAAAAATAAATATTATTTGATATGTTATTATATCAATAATTAAAAAAAAATACTATCTGGTATGCATTATAAGTTTATGATTATTATTATTTTAATTAAAAAGGGCTTAACAACACTTGTACATTTGTATTTTCGCTCAAATTACTGCTCCTTAACTAGTAAAGAATCTCTTTCCTTTTAAATTCCTTTGCTTCTTTAATCTTGCGCCAACAGAGTGTTGATCTTTTTAATTTTCTTCTCGAAGTAATTTTCTTTATTTATCTTAGCTTTTCAAGTTTTTCCAGAATTATTTTAAAATTATTCTCTTTATATATTCTTTTAGGATATCTTCAATAACATTATAATCATCATTTTTATTATTCCTTTTCAGATAGACTTAGATGTCTCTCTACTTTGCTCAAATTCAATTCTTTTTTTATGTTTGATTCTGCAGAGGCAAGGCATTTTGCTGGATTAGCGGCATAAAAACCTGTCGCCGCCTTTATCATCTCCCAAGACGACTAATCGGCACCATACAATTTCAATCGAATGTTCTCGATTCTTCGCATGTACGTAGTCAAACCAAACTAATATTTATGATAGTGGCAAATTCTTTGACACGAGGCAAACACATCCTAGGAATCGAAAATATAGGAGTTATTTATAAAATCTATTAAAATTATTTTTGATATTATTACATTAAAATAATCTAAAAATATTAATTTAAAATAAAAAAATTTAAAAATGAAATCAATTTCTATTTATTGTGAAATCTAGCAATGGTCAAGTCTTGGATGAAGCTTAAACATGTCAATCTACGTTTATTTTTGTTAATAATACGCCTCGTTTTGTTTCGTTATTTCAACTAATAGGATTTCTGCGTGTCATACTCTGATTTTATCTTCTAGAATGCTATGGCTTTTACACACACACATATATTATATATAATGCTTAGGCATGAACATAATGTTGAGCTATATTCCTAAAATTCTGCTTCTTGATTCCTTTTCTTCTTCTATTTTCTCACTTACTGTAAACTGGTAAATTTAATCTATAAGGTTAATCATCAATTAATATTTAAAGTCACCAGCTATAAACTAACTAATCATTACTTATAACCAACCATCAGTTGTGTACCACCAGTCACAAATTGTTTTCACACTTGAAATTTAAATTTTTAATTTTTAATTTATGTAGAAATAAACAGCTAAATGCATGCTATTATATATAAAAAAAATAAAAAAAAAATAAAAAAAAGAGGTGGTGTATTAAAAGTTTTTTATTTACTTTTTATAAAGTTATTCAAATTTTATAATCTAAATCGTTGGTTTAACAAATTAGTTTTAGTTAACTTGATTTTTTTAATCGGTTTATTTTTTCAATTTCATCATTTAATAATGGGTTGGTTGAAAATTAAGTTTCATAATTTTTTTTCTATAGAGTTATCCCGATCTCATGATTTAAGTTACATGATTGACAACTTAACTTGGGTTGACTCGAGTAGTTTTTTTTATCTTTTTTTAATTTAATTTATTTTTACTTTCATCTTTCAAATTTGAATTGATTAGAAATTTATCTTCATAATTTATTTTTATTTACTTTTTATAAGATTATTATAGTTTTATGTTTCAAGTCGTAGATTTAACAAGTCAATATAAATCGATTTAATATGTTATTGTGATAATATTAAAAAATAAATATTATTTGATATGTTATTATATCAATAATTAAAAAAAATACTATCTGATATGCATTATAAGTTTATGATTATTATTTTTTTAATTAAAAAGGGCTTAACAACACTTGTACATTTGTATTTTCGCTCAAAATCACTGCCCTTTAACTAGTAAAGAATCTCTTCCCTTTTAAATTCCTTTGCTTCTTTAATCTTGCGCCAACAGAGTGTTGATCTTTTTAATTTTCTTCTCGAAGTAATTTTCTTTATTTATCTTAGCTTTTCAAGTTTTTCCAGAATTCTTTTAAAATTATTCTCTTTATCTATTCTTTTAGGATATCTTCAATATCATTATAATCATCATTTTTATTATTCCTTTTCAGATAGACTTAGATGTCTCTCTACTTTCCTCAAATTCAATTCTTTTTTAATGTTTGATTCTGCAGGGGCAAGGCATTTTGCTGGATTAGCGGCGTAAAAACCTGTCGCCGCCTTTATCATCTCCGGGGACGACTAATCGGCACCATACAATTTCAATCGAATGTTCTTGATTCTTCCCATGTACAAAGTCAAACCGAACTAATATTTATGTTAGTGGCAAATTCTTTGACACCAGGCGAACACGTCCTGGGAATCGAAAATACAGGAGATATTATTTTTTAAAGTAATTTTTATTTATAGATATATTAAGATTATTTTTTATATTAGTATATTAAAATAATCTAAAAGTATTTAAAAAATTATTAATTTAAAATAAAAAAATTTAAAAACATATTTTTAAAATATAAATACAAACAAACATGAAGATGTGAAAGATACCTCTGACAGGAGTTTTTTCAAGAAAGTTTTACAAATAAGATTATCTTTGTCAGATTTTGTTCTTTCGCAAGTGCAGCATCAACGTATCATGCTATGACTTGTTGAGAAAGTACTATGAACGAAAGGAACTTATGAACACCTGCGAGCATACGTACTGCAAGTGGAGATACGCTATTCCCCCCGAGCCCAATAGAGCTGAAGGTGAAAGCAGGGCTGCGATTCCTGTGGGAATGATCCCTCTCTCTTTAGTCTTTTCCCTGCTCTACATGGAGAAAGCTAATCCACTTGGTAAATAAAGTTGTTAAGATTAAAATTAAAAATAAACCTATTGCACATCCAATAGTATCCATAATATTACTAAGTTACTAAGTGGAATTCCTTGCAATATATTTGGAGGCACAAACCAGCTGGCAGAGGCAAATTATTAGTGTAGGGATGCCAATAAAGATGCATTTAATTAGAAAATACATCACCCGCTTCCAAATTTTACAAATATTATCAACAAAACGTGTAAACTGATTACTAGTATTAAAAAAATTATAATATTACATGTTCATTATATATATATAAACATAGTTATTAAAGCCAATATGAATTACAGTTTGCATTATAATTTGGACAAGTTAACCTATATTAACTTCTTCTTTTTCTAAAACATTAAAAATTTGGACAAGTTAACCTATATTAACTTTTTTTTTTCTAAAACATTAAAAAAAAAATTCTAAAAGATTAAAATATTTTGACAGAAAAAAACAATAAGTTTTTGACCAAATCAATTTTTACTTATTATGAAATCAATTTCTATTTATTGTGAAATCTAACAACGGTCAAGTCTTGGATGAAGCTTAAAGAAGTCAATCTATGTTCATTTTTGTTAATAATACGCCTCGTTTTGTTTCATTATTTCAACTGATAAGATTTCCGCGTGTCATAGTCCGACTTTATCTTCTAGAATGCCATGGCTTTCATATATATATATATATATATAATGGTTAGGCATGAACATAATGAACGAATGTTGAGCTGAATTCCTGAAATTCTGCTTCTAGATCCCTTTTCTTCTATTTTTTCTCACTTACCTGTAAACACCACGACTGGAACTTGGCAACCAGCCATTTTCGTCAGAATTTGGCGAGTCATTCAAAATTTGCTCAGGACAAGTTTTTAATTCACTAAAATCTCAGACTAGAAATAGCTCACCCCCATAGAATGCTATACACGCCTTTCCTTTCGGATTACTGTTGATACATCACATCCGTAACAGCAAGAATCAAGCATCTTGCTTCAAGTCAATAGTTTTATGAACATTAAACTAAAACTAAAATCTGGATGCCAATAGCATGTATTTTCCCTTTTCTATGATTTCTGTCGCTAGAACGGCACATGAGGGAAGGCTAGAAGCGAGCGAAAGGATCCCCGCTTTTCTGACACCAAAATTCTTTCATGCCGGCCAACTGATCCCAGGCTTTGTATTTAACACGATGAGCGATTTTCAGTGACCCGCTTGAGAGAGACAACTACACGCTTAAAAAGGCCAATTAGGGGAAGGAACACGGAGGGGGAAGCAGAAGATGACCACGAAATAATTTATTTGTGGATTCAAAATTGCATTGCGCATGAAAATTGGCAGGGACATGAAACCATTATAGTTTCTGTGAAGTCGGCATTGCCAGAGAAACTCCACTACCACCTGGTAAATCCTTCCATTGCTGAGTTACTGTTTTGATCTGAGTGTAGAAATTAACTCCAGCCTTACCTGCAATTATTTAAAAAAATAATAATAATAACCATGTCAGGGATGTTTATAAGGCCAGTGTGTCGGTGAAGAAACAGTAACGGTTGCACAAGCACAAGAGCAAGGCTTTAGAGGATGTATGCATTACCATAGAAATTGAGATCGCCAGCAAAAGATGCCTTGGAGCCAGTAAATGAGAAAAACGGCAAGGGAACTGGTATAGGAACATTGATGCCAACCTGGATGAAAGCAACATATGTTAATATGCATGAATTTCACAGAGTGCCTATTTCATGCAGCAATGAACTCCCCCTTCCCCTCCCAAAAGGAGCACAAATTGGTTACAATCGAATTTAACAAAACCAATGCTTCCGATTTTCAACAAAATATCAAAGTTATTTATTCTGGAATTAATTTGCCAAGTTCCTCTCATTTTGTATGATCCTTCAAATCTTGACATGGTAAGAGTACAGCGAGGAACTAAAATTGTAGCTACATAACAAATAAATTATGCAGTTGTAGCTCTTAAATATTCTCTGATGGTAGTCTCATGTTGCTTTTATGATTTTTACCTGCCCAGCCTCTATCTCAGTTTGGAATTTCCTTGCAGCAGCACCAGATGCAGTGAATATGGCAGCTCCATTGCCATATCTGTAACAAAAACATTTACAAACATGTAAACCAGATACAATTCATGGAAGGAAAATTGATAAAAACAAGCAAATGAAAAGTCATAACGAGATAGTACTTATTTCTGTTCAGGATGTTGATGGCTTCTTCAAAGCTGCCAGCCTGAAAGTTAAGAGAAGAAAGAAAGATGTTACTCCATAGCCATGCCAATCGATCAGAGGCCTAGTTAGCACATAAAAACAAAAGGGGTATTCAACCCACCTCCATGCAAAGAAGAACTGGGCCAAAAATTTCCTCCTGCAAAGGAAATGTATGGAAAGTGGATCAGTCAATTTTTCACCAATATTTGAGGTCTACATCTCCATCCACTTGGGAAATTAATGAATTAAGATTTTCTGGAGTCTGGTCTCCAAAATCACAACAACAAAAAAAGAAGAAGTTAAATAATACCTTGTAGCACTCCATGTCAGCTGTGACACCAGATAAGATGGTAGGACCAATAAAATTTCCACGCTCGAATCCTGGAACCTGTTTATTCACCATAAATAAATCAGTAAGCAGGTCTCTTTCTGTTAATTGAAAATGAATCATAAAAAGGAGTAAAAGCACCCTTGCAAGAAAGAAACAAAAACACAAAGCTAATGTGAACATGCATGTTTAAGATTAACATATTTTGGACTTGAACTCAATACCTTACCCATCTTGCTTCACAAAAGAATCAAAGAGCTCCAAGACTATAGGTCCTAATGTATTTTCAGTTCCCTAAAACGAAGAGAATGTTGTTTGCTCTACCAGCCATATTTAAATTACTCTATGATTTCCATATATTTTGTGTTTCTGGTCTGACTTGCATATTCAGATGGTTTTACCCACCATTATATACAATAAGTAGCGGGTCCCAACAACAAAACAAAAATGCAATAACATACCACTATATTTCTTCCATCAAGAAGAAGCCTGGCACCACTTTCAACACCACTTTGAATTAATCTGCACACTCGCTCCTTAGCCTGTAAGAACAGAGAAGATTTCCAAGTAAAGATTTGATCATGGTGGTGCAGAGCAGGTTAGGAATAATTCTGAAACATACCTGTTTACTAATCACTGGACCAAGGTCTGCATCAGGCTCCATTCCTGAATTTACTTTTAGAGATTTTGCACGCTCCACCAGTTTATTCTCCCTAGAAAAGTTTGAAAAACGTCTCCATTATACAGTTACATCTTGGTCAATCACCAAGGGGCTCTTATTTTCCATTAATCATACAAAACAACATAGTAAACATCTGCAAGGGGATGCAATCTATGTATAACATGCACGTTAAAGCCCCATTAGTCCATGCAATGGGGATGCCCCCCCTCTGTGTAAACAGTGATAAAGGCTAAAATTTATGTGCGGCCTCAAATCCCATCTACACATAAAAATGCCTCCCTAAGTAACGTGATGGCATGCATGTGTCAACTCTCAACGAAGGAGCTGTATCCTATTGTGGCTCTACTAAAACTGATCCAGCTTCCATAACATAGCTGAAAAATCATTCTCTTGACATCCTATTCCTTTGCAGTAGCTAACTGGCAGCAGATTACTTGAAAAGTCCAGCTAGAAGTTATCAATTTAACAATCTGTGGATTTCAATTGGAAACAAACTTACCATGACTGTGGGTCTCCAACAAAAACTACAGTGCTCAGTGCCATACATCTTTGTCCCGCTGCACCAAAACCAGCAGCAACTAAAGCATTCAAAGTGGCATCAACATTGGCATCTGGTAAAACAATTGCGTGATTTTTAGCTCCCATGTTAGACTGCACAAAAGAATACAGATAGCCAATTGACTCCAACTTCAATCATTGTGAAAAAACCATATTGCTCCTAACAGACTAAATAGTTATTACTAAAAAAATGATGTGAACTTACTTGTACACGTTTCCCTTTAGCTGATGCTCTTGAATATATGTGCATACCAGCCTGTGAATATGATAACAAAAAATTAAGAAATAATGTGACTATCATGCAAGTAATAACATGTCAATGTGGCAGAAAAGAGCAATGATCTCCAGAATGTTTTCCCCACACAAAAATAACAGGAGAATAAGTTTAAAGGCTATCCACCAAAAACTGATCTTGTTCAGGATCTTCATTTTCCTCTGAATGCTTGGAATAGAAATATAAGACCATAAAAAGATTGAGAGTGTTTGGCAATGCGGCCAAAACATTGTTTGCCAAAATTGTTTTTTACAAAAATTTGCTTAATTTCTTTTTTTTTTTATCGTTTTGACGTACTAATATCAAAAATAAATTTTAAAAAATAAAAAATATTATTTTAATGCATTTCTAAGCAAAAACAATTTGAAAAGCAACTTCTACCAGAATGTCAAACATGCTCTAAGTAGGAATCAAAATCTGGATATTGCAGTGAGTAACTTACAGTATTGGATCCCACAAATGATATGGCTCTAATGTTGTCGTCATCACAAATTGCATTAACAACATCCTGCCACAAATGGAAACACATTAGAAAACCAGTGCTGTTAAAGACACATAAACAAATGAAAATCACTAAATCATATCTCAAACATTTTCCACTATATCACAGCCCTCCAACATGCAAATGAAACTGCAAAATCTTAATAAGTTAGGATCAATTAAATAAAATCCAATTTTTCAAGTTTATTTTCTTAGGAAGATATAGCTACCAAAACACAATAAAGATTAAGAAGCTAAAAAGAGCTCATTGTTGAGCAAAACCATACACTGGTGCCATGAACAATGTTTAAGACACCATCTGGCAGACCAGCCTCCATTGCTAACTCAGCAAGTATTATAGAAGCACCTGTTACAACACCAAAAACGAAGTTACTGTTATAAATAAAAGTAAGATGATTGATTATTTTGTGCAGAATATGACTGGAGTTGGAACTGTGATTAGTGAACATTTATGCAGGGACTGCTTTAATCCCAAACTGTTTTGCTGAATTTTCCAGAACTTTCAAAACTATGTTTCTTTGCATTACTAAAAAAAATTAAGAGAAAAAAACCTATAATAAGCCAGGACAATTTTGAAATAATTGAACAATTTCCATTAACTGTTCAAAGTGGACGGCTAGCTTCAACAGGAAAAAGAGGAAGGCAAACACCACTTATGACAAGTGCACATAATCTGACGTACTAAATTCAAGCTTCCAAACATTTATATTATTGGCTTAAAGGAGTCACCTGATGGGAAGTCCTACAATTCTGAGCTAAAGGTTCTTCCAATACTCATAGGAGGCTATTTTATTTTCAGGGTAACCAACTTCTAAACAAAGTCTTATCACATATATATGACTAGAGAAGATATAAAGTATCTTTCTAACCTATGAATTTAACACAAGCTGGTACCTTGAAGAGATAATGCTCCAAATATTATGCACAAAATATAGACAAGGTAATCCTTACCAGGATCTTTCTCCGATGGCTTCAATATAAAGGTGTTACCACATGTTACGGCAACAGGGAACATCTGCAGCCAAAAAGCAGCACACATTTTTAATTTTTTTTTTTTCTCTGGAAACTCAAGATTTGCTCACAAATCAGAAAAGCTTTAAATGTTTGTACACTTGTGAAACATGATCAACTTCGTTGGCCCAGTTAACTGCATCCTTTCATCTTAAGAAAAAGATTTAAGTTACATCTTTGTAATAATGATATAGCAGGCATCCCACTATGCATGGACAGAAAAAATTGCGAAGTAGAATACTGAAGGCTTACCCATAAGGGAATCATTGCTGGAAAGTTGAAAGGGCAAATCCCAGCACATACACCAAGTGGCTCTCTTATGCTAAAGGGATCCATTCCATTTGACACATTAGGGACATACTCACCCATCTGCAAAGTCGCCATTCCACAAGCATGTTCCACCACCTCTATAAGAGAAAAAATTCAAATTGAGAGAGCACATATGCAATCAACTACAATTTTGAACCAAAAGAGACTTTAGGAACAGTAAATAATTAAAAAAAAAAAAAGACTAACCTAGCCCACGGAACACATCTCCATGCGCATCCTTCAAGGTCTTCCCCTGTTCAGTAGTAATATTCATCGCAAGCTTATCCTAGAACAAGATCACAGTAATTCTAACCATCAAACGAAACCTATTAAAAAATAATACAGATAAAAAGCAACAATGACGAAAAATTCTAGCATGCTTACAATGTCTCTACGAATAAGCTCTTGGAGCTTCAGCATGACTCGCTGACGAGTCGTAATTGGCGTGTTACGCCACGCCGGAAAAGCCTGCTTTGCTGCAGAGACTGCAGCTCTGAACTCTTCGTTCGTAGTCAAAGGAACCCGTGACACGGCTTCTTGTGTTGCCTAACCCCATATACCAATCCGTTAAACCCAAAACAACTTTCAATCATCACTAAAAACAAAGAAAAACATAGTAACAATAATAATATATACTCACAGGATTTATCACATCAATGGTTGAAGATGATTGCGAATCAACGAATTTTCCTCCAATAAGATTGGGGACTCTCTGATAAAGCACACAAACTTGTAAGAAATTATAATAGTGAAGAAAAGTTTCTCGAGTTTTTGAAGAACTTCCTGAGAAACCAAACAGACCATAAAGCACCGAACATATGCGTGTGTACGTATAGATTTATAATGGGTATATTACCGGAGGGCTGGGTAGCCTTGAAGAAGGCTCAGCTGCACCAGTAGAGAAACAATAAGAGCTTCTTAAAGCAAAGATCGAAGGCTTCAAGGCCTTTAGATTTCTCGCTGAAACACCAAAAGAAAAGGAATCAAAATAAATCAATTTTGTAACAAATGAAATAAAACAGATGATTGATGATTAGTTACGCGCAAGTTGCTTACCTCGTTGAATCGAGAATCGAAGAAGCAACATCGTTTTTCTTTTTGTTTCTACTTGCTTTGATTCAGTTACTCTTTGACGCGCTGTTTTTAGCTTAGGCGAAATGTCTGTTTCTTCAAGAGGATGTCACATAGTATATCCCTTTTTTAGATGCATGCCCCCTTGTTATACCCACTTAAACTGGGAGAGCGATTAGTGTTACGACTAGATTTTTCTCCCGCAAGTTAAATCATGCTCATCTTAGAAAACAGTGACATCATGACAACCAAAAATTTTAATCATGAAAAATTAAAAATAAAATAATAATTAAAATAATAAAGACTTATAAAAACCAATAAAAAATAAAATTAAAAAAATAAAATCAAAATTAGATAAAAATAAATAAATAAAATAAAATGTTAAGAGATAAAATTATTAAAAAAATTAAATTAAGAAAAAAATAAAAAAAATCAATTAAAAAAATAAAAATGAAATTAGATAAAAATAAATGAAATAAAATGTCAAAAAATAAAATTAAAAAATAAATAAATCAGTAAAAAATAAATATCATGTTTGATATAAATATTAAATAAAATAATATAATTAAAAAAATCAAAACAAATAAATATATATAAAAAATATATAATGAAAATAATTAAATGAGAGAATACATTTGTATTTTAGCTAACACATCATGGATTTCAAAACAGAAAAAAAAAATTAAAAAAAAAGGAGGAAAAAAACTCACCATTACGAGTTTCACTACACGTGCCATCACTGGAGGTTTCAAACGGCAAGGCATTTGGGTCTTCTTGGACGCCGCAAGCAACCATATGTACTGCCTAAAAAGCATATAGATAACGTTTACTCACTGACGTGTATGTTGCACCTTTTAGTTACTTTTTCTTTTTATTTATTATTTTTATTTGTTAAAAAATTAATTTATCCCTAATTTAAATATATTATAATTAAAAAAAAAACATGATGAAAATGCAAAACTACTTAACATCTTCTTTAAATTTTTTGACTTGAAAGGCCATAATTTTACTACTTTAAAAAAGAAAATGACGCAAACGCTCCTCTTTACCTTCTATTTGTTTTTTCCTTTTTAAGGGTATTTACATCACTTACCTTTGCATTAAAAAAAATGAAAGTTGATAAATATAACCCTAATTAATTTTATAATAACAAATAAATTCATTTGAAAAGACAATTTAAACCTCAAAAACCGATCATTTAATTTTGCAAACAACAATTGATTTTTTCTTTTTTGGAATGGTAGGGAAAATCATCTAGTTTTGGCAACCATTGTTTGGATTGGTAGGGAAAATCAAGGGATAATTAATATGGTTGGAATTTGCAGGATCCGCCTCCTTTTGATAAATCTTTCTTGGCACTTTGAGGTTGAGTTCTTCAGCATTTTTTTGTCATTGAATGCACTTGAACACAAAAAGCTCAAGGTATGGTAGTTTTGTGTGTTTGTTTAAACCCTTTCATAGGGCATTGTCTGGATTCTTTTCCCTCATCATTTCTTCCATGCTTCATCGTTTTTTTAAGCTTGTATGGTTTCTATCTCTCTTATTTCTTTCCTATAGCTCTCGAGTGGCTTTCAACAAGGCTAGCCTCTCTTCTTTCCCCTCGTCCATTTCTTTTTTTATAGTTTTTTTATCTGAGAATCTGTTTCTATTCCCTATCTTTTCCCCTTTTTATATTTTGTATCTCACACATTACTTTATATCTAATCCTTTTTTCTTTTCTTTTTTTTACTATAAATATGTTGGTTAGTTTATATATATCTCGACTAATTTTTTAGAGCCCTGAAATTAATGACTAGACAAATCTCTAATAATCCTGAGATTTATAGTACTCGAACGGTAATGTTTAGGAATCAAACTCAGAGCTCAACTAATTAAATTACACTTCTTAAGGTTTATCTATTTTTATTACTAATATTGATTATGTTTCAATTTTGGTTTAATACTGATATAATAATGTTTATTTGTATTATTAATTTTGATTATGTTTTAATTTTGGTTTAAATATTAATGTAAAGTCTTAAAACCATTCCAATGGTTATTTACGTTCATTCTACTTGTTTTATGTCATGCTCTTTGATGTTTTAAGTTTGTAATTTTTTGTCAATTTATTAGTTTATGTAATGAATATATTCCAAAAATATCTAATTTTTTAGAATATATATATATATATATATATATATATATAAAGTTATATATATTTTGAAATAGAATTATAATTAATTAAGAATTATTTTGTTAACGTTGTTGGCTTTTGCTTAGCTATAGTATCTACTTTTGCTGTAAATCTGATGGTAATTATTGCTTTTGACATCTATTTAATAAAAATTACGGTAAAAAATGATATACAGTAATTGTAGCCATTGACTAGAAGCACAAAATGTAATCAAGTATTTGTATATATAAATTACTTCTGAACTCTTAGGAGATAAAACTTACAAGTAGATTAATAAGGTTGTACTAGAGTTGAACTCTGATTGTTGTAATAGATTATTTTTTTTTAAGTCTTTATATGGTGGCTGCAAGGCTTATGCAGCACATATATATTACTCCTACTTCAATGAAGAAATGGAGAACTTTTCTTAAAAACTTTATCTATGTTAACATGGTATCAGAGCTCTTTTATTGATCTCTATTTAATTTTTTTTTCCTTTTATCTGTTCTTATTTAATCACCATGAGTGATTCCTTAAACACAAATCTTGTGACTATTAATGTCATAGCACAAGCTCCTCTGAAATTAAAAAGTAACAACTACTTGTCATGGTGATTTTAATTTTTAACACTTTTTTTTCTGTTATTTTTGCAAGGTTACATAAATGGCACTAAGCTATGATCATCACAACAGTTTCCTACTATCACAAACAACATAACCACCGAATGCTTGAATCCAGAGTACACACTTGGATACGTTAAGATCAACTTATTTTACATGCAATCATCAGATCTATTACACCCATAATTATCTCATTAATACTAGAGCGAAAAATTCTCATAAGGCATGGAACATTTTTGTTGCCATATATGCCACTTTGTCTAGAGGTTGAATCAAATAGGTAAAATCACAACTCAAATTGCTCACCAAAGGAACTCTCAGTATTACATACTTTCTACAATCCGTCAATGCTAGAGTTGATGAACTTGTAGTGTTGGGGGCCACCTGTTGATAATGAAGATTTAACAGATAAAATCCTAGAAGAACTTGGTGATGAATACTGTGAATTAGTAAAGGCGGTGCAAGCAAGGGAAAATGTAATTAACTTCGATGAGCTTCATGAAAAACTCTTGATGTTTGAAGCCTCACTGTAAGCAACACTTAAAACTACTAATCTTTTCCAACCCACTAGACAACATGTCAGTCGCACTAGTGGGCACTCTCCCTTCACCAATGTCAATCACACTCTGCTTAATGACTCAGGATATAGAGGAAATTGGCATTCATATACCAACTAACAACAATACAATCCAGGCCAGAATTAGTTTTTTGCTTTTTATAACACAAACAACAGCAACTGACTGCCATCAAGGCCATACCTTGGTTACTGCCAAATTTGTAGCATTTAGGGTTATATAACAAAACAATGCCCTTTCGTTAGACTTGTTCCACTTAACAGCAATCCAAATCATAACACCATTCCATGGCAACCGCAAGCTAACCTAGCAGCCTCTAATCCTTCGATTAGTTCACTATAACTATTGGACAATGTGGCATCCCACCATATCACATCTGATCTCTAAACCTGGATCAACACCTACTATACATAAACACTAATGATGTTATGATAAGGGAAGGTAAAGGTTTATAGATAACGCACTTGGGTTTCATTAAACTTCATTGATCCACTCATTCATTTAATCTTCACAATATCCTTTGTGTTCCTGACATTGAACAAAATTTAATCTCTATATATCAATTTTGTGTTGATAATAATGTTTCTATTGAGTTCTTACATTGGTATTTTCCTGTGAAGGACATATTGATAGGGAAATTCATGCAAAGGGTAAAACCAATAAATATGCATATGAATGGCTGTGTGTCGTCACTCCTCATACTTTTTAAGTGTCAAACTCGCTCCAATAAAGTAGCATCTTTGATTAGGACATCCTGTATCTTCTGTTTTAAATACTATTTTGACAAAGCATTAATTAAATTCATCTTCAGTTTCTAAAGACTTTGTCTATAATGCATGTCACTATAATAAAAGTCATAAGTTACTATTTTCTATCTCCAGTTTACTTTCTCATAATCCTCTTACATAACTTTTTTCTGTTGTATGGACCTCTACTCTTTTGTCTATTGATGACTTTAAATAGTACGTTATTTTTATGAATCACCTCACTAAATACATATGGTTTTATCCAATGTGAAAAAAATCTGAGGTCAAACCAACTTTCATTCACTTCAAAGCAATAGTGGAAAATTATTTCAAGACAAAAATTATGACTATGTATTTTGACAACGGGGGTTGAATACATTGCGTTGACATAATTATTTGTTACACATGGCATATCTTATATGACAAAACCCTTACACTCTCCAGAATACAATAGTTTTACTGAATGTCATCATAGATATGTTGTCAAAACTGATCTCATACTTTTAACTCATGCGTCATTACCACGTTTATTTTGGTCATATGCCTTTGTCACCGCGATTTATCTCATTAATCACATGCACATTCCTATGTTAAAATATCATTCACCTTATGACATTATTTTTCAACTCTCACCACATTATGAAAAACTATGTATTTTTGGATGCTTATGCTATCATTGGCTTTGCCTTTACAATGCACACAAGTTAGAACCTTGGTCCAAATCATGCATTTTCCTAGGATATTCTTTTTCGCAAAGTACTTATTTGTGCTTTAATAATCTAGTGTCTAAATTATCTGTTCTTTAATGATTTGGAAAGGTGATAAAATTTTCTATAAATATTTTTTTAATAGACATCTCCAAAAAAGGCTTCTAGGAGGGTTTAAATTACTGTCCAAAGTTAGCATCATATTTATGTTTGAATTTTTACTGAAATTATGTTGTGTTCTTTTTTGTAGATTTCAGTTTTTTAGTTTGTAAAACTTATTATTTTAGTTTAATTCAAGTTATTTCATGTTTATTAAAGTGTTCTTATACATAATCATGGTTAG